TATATACATTGTCTGTATGTGTACATGGAGAACCCTGTATACAGTGATTCCAGATTTCTTGGAGAAAGTTTTCAAGATGCATATTTTATCAGATTGATCTTATTCCTTTATTTTCTGATGGATTTTATCTTTACCTTTACCTCCTTTAATCATCAGCTGATAAATTTTTAAAAATAAGGAATGATATATAGACCTGTAACAAAATACCATGCTGTCCTATTGTGAAAATTGCAAAAAAAAGTTACTGCAAAGCTCCTTCACAAATGGTGTGGAAAAAAATTAAACAAAACAACAAAATGCCTGGCAACTGAAAGCATAATAAAAAAGTCATAGGTAACAGTATTGATATTAACAGCATTTGTAAAAACATATTTCTTTAACCCAATGGTAACCGGTGAAGAAAACGGAAAAAAAAAAAAAAAAAAAAACTCTACGCTCTGGCAAACAATGGCGACACGCTGGCTTTGAGCATGTGAGTTCGGTACATCAGCCCGAATCACTGGCTCGCCGCGCTTTGGCGTGCCGCTGCGGCATACAGCCACACGCTAGCTTTTGAGCAGTTTGTTTTCACGCCTATCGGTGTCACCTGTCGTTAAGGGGTTAAAATCCATGGAAAGGTGAAATCAGGTGAGGTCAAGTGGTCTAGTTACTGACACTTTGATGGCTAAGAACTTATTGAGCCACTTATATGCTATTTGACTCTTTAGTGGCTAAGCACTTATGGAGCCATCTTTCAGAAAAGAATACAACAGTGAATATAACATTTTCCTGATAGCACTAGGTTAATATCAATCCTTTAATTATTATTAGGCATGGCATGTATGTCCAATACCATTCCTGGTGGCAATAGGTTATGAAGTGATTAGGATGAAAAGGGCTAATAATTTTCAATGAAGCTCACCTTTCAAAACATAATTAGTTTCCAAGTGCACAGGAATGATGCAAAGATTTATACCATGAAATACATTATTGCATGCATATTAGTGATACTGGTAAAGAATGATTATCTGACTAATATATATGAAGAGTATAGTTTTTGTTCAACATTTTGTTCCATTTCCAATGTAACTTTCTTTATCATTTGAAGCTACACCACACCTACAGTTGACTTCCGTCTTCAATTACAACTTCCTTGTTTGATTCTTGAAATAACACCAACAAGGAAACAAATCTTAAACCACTGTACAGGGTTTTCCACTACCACTGTTATAAGAGTGAGGCAACTATCAACTCTCTTACTTTGTGAACTACCTAAGTACTCTTGATATACATCAACTCTATCACAACTCATAACAGTTGTTATCTTACTGACCAAATATACATATATAGAACTATATGTATACATAGAGCACTTGAACTAATAAATACTTCTTTTTCAACTTAAATGCTCCTTGTTAAGGGAGACTCCTGAAGTCTTAAGGGAGAAACATTCCCGACCAGAACATGTAAACTTACGAGTGGGTCCAGGAGCAGGGGTGGTCCCCATCATGGCCACCTGCCGGTAATTAGGTGGCAGGGACATCCTGAGTCCAGGCTGAAAAAGTCAACAGTTATCAATTTTTATTAACATTAGCATTATTGATAATCATTTATCTATTTATTTATTTTTCAAAATAAAAAAACACCAATGGCAAAAATCAAACCATTTCACTGCACAACCCCAAACAATGTTGCTAAACCTATATTTCTTATTTCCAAGAAATGTTAGTAAATGTATGTTTACAAATACATATGCACACAGATACATCTATATGAAAAAATACTTGAATAACAAGTCACAGATAAAATATTGTTAAAACAGACACACACACACACACACACACACACACACACGCAATGTCATTGCTGAATGCAATGCTTCTTGATCTCCAGTTCTATAAAAAAAAAAAAAAAAGATAAATAAATTGTGGAATGACCATCAGCACCTCTACCCATGATCACTATGTCAAGCCACAGTGGGGACACTTGGAAAAGTGAACTTTTCTGTGCATTGATACTGAGGAGAATAATTCTATAATGCCCATAACTCACATACACCACCTGAGCAAAATTTAAAAATACAATCCCCTATAGAGGACACTAATGTAGCGTTATAATCAAAAGTTGAAGCATACCACAATGTTCTCCGGTACATGAAATTCAGAGCTAAAGAAGGGGTTGCCATTCCTTCAAACACTGCCATTCAATCTTACCTGCCTTTGTGTACAAAGAAAATAAAGAGCAGGAGAAAATATACTCCCAACAAAAAAAAAAAAAAAGATAAATAAATTGTGGAATGACCATCAGCACCTCTACCCATGACCACTATGTCAAGCCACAGTGAGGACACTTGGAAAAGTGAACTTTTCTGTGCATTGATACTGAGGAGAATAATTCTATAATGCCCATAACTCACATACACCACCTGAGCAAAATTAAAAAATACAATCCCCTATAGAGGACACTAATGTAGCGTTATAATCAAAAGTTGAAGCATACCACAATGTTCTCCGGTGATATTTGGTACATGAAATTTAGAGCTAAAGAAGGGGTTGCCATTCCTTCAAACACTGCCATTCAATCTTACCTGCTTTTGTGTACAAAGAAAATAAAGAGCAGGAGAAAATATACTCCCAAAATTGTACATGACATTGCTTTTTGCATTTGAGAAAACAATGCATATCAATTCCAAAATAAAATAAGATTGATTTCTGCACTGAATTTTTTCTTTTTAATTCCATTCTGAAATAATCAAATCTACAAACTGGAAATTAATAAATCATCAGTATTATCTTACATTTCAAATCAAATACATATCAAAATATATTATCACAATGTATATATAGAATATAATCAATGTACTTCATGCACCATGCAGTAACTGGAAGTTTGCTATATAAAAAAAACAGCATATGTATGCACACACTCACACATGTAAACTGTTAATATTTAAACTATTACCAAAAATCTGAATAGCTGAAGTTTTGTCTCAACATACTCATTCAGAAATAGCAACCTCAATTATATTTTCTTCCTCAAATTAATTTATATGAATTGATAATCCCCCCTATAACTATGGATAAACATTTTATGAATCATTAACCCACTGTGCCTGGGGGTGGCATATTCATTCATACCAAGTTCCCTGCTATTTTAGTTTATTATACTATAGACAAAGGGTGTCTTCATATGCTGACAGCCTGGCATTGTAACAGATGCCAGGTGTTTGGATGTATTAATTGCTTGGATCTGGGTTCTTCACTGCCAACACATGGCCCAAAATCCAGATGTTAGGCTAACTTAAGTGGCTTGTAGGTCAGGCACACTTGGACACTCATGACTACTTGCCTCCCCTTTGCAATGTTATATTTTCTTTTTCTGATTATTTTCTTTCTTTATTTTTTTTTTTAGCTTTTTTTGCCATATTCCAATGCATATATTTGATATGATATGCTATATCCAGATGGTAATAAACTGTTTCTCTTGAATAGATCACTCACATCACTTCAAAATTCTCATAACAGTGTGTTCCCGTCAACCAGCCCTAAGTCAACTTTTTCCCATGACAGCATGATCATGTAACCTGCCCCCATCTTCAAGCCAAAATTTTTTGTGACATGACGGTCACATCATCTGGATCATAGGAGTTTCACCCAGACACCACAGGCTTTGGCATTTACCAACTGCTGCTATTTCCCCTTTCCTTGAGAGTAATCTTGTTACGAAGGTACTGCAGGGGCTAAATGGGAAGGTAGAGGGTTATTGAGGGGGAAGGGATGGGGAAAAGGAGAGAGTGTGGTGGGGTGGAGGGAAAAGGTCTTGGCTAGGGGGTGGGTGGGGCAAAGAGGGCAAATGTAATGGGGTTGAGGGAAGAGGTTATGGGTAGGGGGTGGGAGAGGAAAAGTAATATAAAGTATCAGGTGATTGGGTATCCATTGTCTGACATTGATTAACCTAACCTAACATAGTTTAGTAGATAGAGCTCTACTATGTACTGGTCTTATGTCTTTGGGAGTATTTGTGTGGGTTGAGTATTCAATGTGTTGGCTGGAAGCTGGAGGTGAAGTAACAGTTGTAGTAAATTGTACAGGAAGCCAGGGAGGTTTCCTAGTTGGCAGAGAACAGTGATTGTCCTCACTTGGTGGCTGCTCAGTTTGGTCTGTCCCAAATTCCTGAGATATTAAAAAGGCCGGAAATGTTTAGGAATGAGGAACTTGGGGAGCCTGTGTAAGTGATCCAATGAAAGTGCAGCAAGGTGTCTAGTGCCGACTGGTCAGGACACAGCTGTGAGTTGAGAAAAGTGCCTGCATTGACCAATAAGAAGGTAACTGTTGGATGTGGCATGATTCAACTGTGTAGTGCATAAAGTATGCACTGAGTGCAGGTTGTAGGTCATGGCTGCTGCAGAACTTGTGTAAGCGAGTGATTCCCCAATATCCAGTCCCCATCTTCTCATATCAAGTTGAGTGGATATAACTGTGAAGGAACTGCAGGTCTACATCAGGCATCGCCTGTTGATGGGTTTCCCCACCCTCCCATGCTGTACTACTGGAGACTATGACTTGGGATGCATCTTCACTTCTCAGACAAAGAGGATCCTCATACTGCAGGAAATCATTTGTGGAAGCGGCATTCTGTTGTTGACATCCTGGTATGGAGTTCAAGTAATCCATCATGCCATAAAATCTATAGCCAAACTAAATGGGCAAGGTTTGGTATAAAGGTAGATGAGTTCTATGCCAGCGATGGGACGACTGCATGATACACAAGTGCACTCAAAATGTATGAGGCAGGATTGTAGTGATATGCCAGTATCACGGAAGGTTTAACCTGATGGCCAGCGTGTCCCTTTTTGGTATGGGGTACAAACTATACCTTGACAATTAGTATTCATGGCCTACACTCTTCCACTACCTTCAACCAAAGAAAAAACCTTGTTGGAACAGTCTGCATGAACAGAAAGTTTGAGTCAAAGGACATGAAGGTTCCTCCACTAAAATCATATTACCACCTACCAGCCTGTCAAACATCTGTCAAATTAGGGCTGTGTGTATTTACACATAGATGGATCCACAAGTGCACAGCCACAAAGTCAATTCCTACCTACCTCACCAGATAACCCCTTTTCCTTGACTTAACCCTACAATGACGGTAACAAAATTTCAGAGCAGTCACTGATTCTGGTGACTTCTGGCAACCATCCAGCCATTTGAGCGGGGAGACTGCTATGTGTAGCAGGACTTCCTGCTCGACTTGCTCTAGCATGCCATGATGCCTATAGCTGTACCTATCATGATGAGTTGGTTTTCTATGATGGGTATAGGCATGCCCGGCAGTAAGAGGTTAAGAGATACAATTTTTTTTTTTTTTTTATTGCTATTAGTATTGTTAATGATATTATAATTGTAATGTCAATAATAATAATAATAATAATAATAATAATAATGATAATAATAATAATGATAATAATAATAATAACAATAATAATAAAAACAGCATTCGAAAAAACGTTTCCCAAAAAGAAAAAGGAAATCAGGTGAGGTTATATAAGGGCAACTGACTTCCTGGTGCTGAGAACTTGTGGTGTCAACTATGTATTCAGACACTTCACTAAACAAAACTAGTGGACATTACATGTTCAAATGGGAATTGGGTTTAAATATCTTTAAATATCTTTATATAGAAAAAATGGTACTGATTATGAAACCAATGAAAGAAAAAAATGAAAATATAATAAACAGGTTATAACAGTTAAAGAATTATTTGCATACGCATGCACACACACGCACACAAGTGTGCACGCACGCACGCACGTACCCTAAACACAGTGGCTTGAAAATACTGTACATATATCATTTACACACATATGAGACTCGTACACACGCACACACACACACAAAGTACACACATATATATGCTGTAAAAATAAATTCCAAGGTACTACCTGTGACACTCAACACCCAACCACCAAGCCTAAAACAAAAACACTACCTAGAGGCTCTCATGGATCCAACTCTACAAGCTACAAACATCTACCATGTACAAAGACTAATACATAAGGAAATAACATAAATAAATAGCTACACATCTTATGAGTTAACGGGCATTCTTTTCTTGAAATTTAAAACATGAAAATAATAATAACATGCATTAATATTATGACAATCATAATGTAATCTTTGTCAGTCTTTTCAAAATTAGCAAAAAAGTAAATATATAAATAAATTGTAATGGGGAAAAAAAAAAAATCATAAGACAGTAATGGAGCATCTAAATATCAATCTAGCAATGTTAATATATTGTCAACTCTTTCAATAAGGATCAACCTTGTTCAGCATGGCTTTGTAACAAACTGCAATATCAAGTTTTCGTGATAGGAATGTATGTGTTAAGTATAGATTTTCATAACCTTGTTATCCTAGTTCTCATGACTACACTGTTATCTTTGATTTAGTTGTAGAAGTCTACAATACTACTACTTTCATTTTGTAATTTTTTTTTTTTTCATTATAACCATTCAGCCTTCCAACCATATCCATCATACATTCATCAATAAAGAGCTGCTTCAACTTACCTTCTGACACACGTTAGCTCAAAGTAACATTTCCAGTTTCAGCTTCACATAATACTAGATGTGATCTCTCCCAAACTTCCCATTTTGAAGTAAGGTTCACAAGTGATTTGGGCTTAGAAGAGAGAACCCAAAATAAAATTAGGAATGAAAATTTCCTTCATTTTGTCAACTGCCTTTCCCTTCTAAACCATGTGCAATCAAGTAGTCTTTCTTTCTTTCTTTCTCTCTCTCTCTCTCTCTCTCTCTCTTTCTCTCAGCTCACCTCATTTCTCTCTTTCTGTTTGTATACATTTTAGGTATATGTATGCATATGTATGTATGTATGTATGTATGTATGTATGTATGTGTGTGTGTGTGTAAAACATATTCAGATGTTACAGGACAGAAGTATCTCCCTCCTACTCCAACTTGACATCATAAACATTAGTGAGAGAGGTGAGCTTCACCTCATAAGATATTCATTCTCTTTGTGGTGAAACTGGAAACAAAACAACTGCACTGACTTTTATCTTGAAATTTTATAAAATCAAGTATGTTCTCGAGTGCTATCGCACTGAGTTAAACTTTCTATTAACAACCACCCAATAAGTTTTGTTTCACTTGACAGCGGGAAGGGTTACCAATAATATGAAAAAAATGACTTTAAAAACGAAGCATGTTCAGAAATATGAAATAAAAATAAGGTTTATCAAAACCTGACAATTTCTGCAACTTAGAAGATAATTAAACTTAAGCCAAATTATATCAATCTTAAATAAAAAAGGAACACTTATGCCGATTTCTGACCGCTACGACCACTTTCTACAAGGTATACATTATTACTCAAGTTGCCGTGACTGGGCGTGTTAGGAACTTCCCTCTGCGCCTGAGGAATCTATTCTTGCTCCAACACAATGAGACAGACAGCGATGGAGAAGATAACACACGCCAGCAGAAGTTGAGATGGAAGTAGCGGTGAGTGTTGGAGGGGAGGAGAGAGAAGAGGGAAGGAAGAGAAAGTGAGGGGAGGGGGATAGGTGTGGGGGAGAATATTCACCACCACCACCACCACCACCACCACCACCACCCTCCTTCCACTTCCTCCCTCCCTATTCACTGCGCCTCCTCCAGAACTCCCGCCCCCCCCACCCACCCCCCAAGGCCAGCAGCCACGGAGACAACGCCCAGTCACGGCCACTCTTGAATAATCGTAAAGAGAGTCTTTTTTACCTTAGGAGGGTGGGTCGAGTTTTGTGCCAGCTTGTCCACGTACATCCTACAAAAAAGAGTGTAGGAAACGTCACACTGATGGCAGGGGTCGCTTAAGTATCTTTCCTCCATGGCTGCAGTGTAAGATTGAGGAAGCCGGTCGGAAGTTTGGAATGTTTCATAAGGTAGCGAACACGGTACTATCCGCGATTATACTTAACAGAACGTGAGAAAAAAGGAGGAAGCTGGTGTTCAATTTGGCCAGATTTATATTTCTCATCTTATTATCATAAAATTCTCCTTGCCTACGGTCTGATTTTTTTTTTTTCCGGGGGACTCCTAATAAGTGTAAGCATATTTTTCAATAAAGAAAAGAAGAGACTGGAAAGCTGAACTTTTATGGACGTGGTGTGTAAAGATAATCTGACAAGGCATCTTCTATTTCCTTTTCCATAAAACGTGTGTATTCTCTCTTTGTTTAAAAACTTAGTATTATTTGAGCTGGCAATGAACTTTCCTTATACAGAGATAGGGTCTAGGACATGATACATTTCTATGGTAAGTAGATGTAACAAGATGAAAGTCAGTGCAGTTATTATTTCGTTATCATAATTTTTTTTTTTTCTTTTTTTTCTACCCTCCCAAGACATAGTGAGGAAAACAGCCAGTAACTGTCCAGAAATGCTGAGGGGTGTATAGAAAAACTAAGGTAGTGGCCATGAGAAACTAATACAACTATAATATATATATATATATATATATATATATATATATATATATATATATATATATATATATATATATATATATATATATAATGCAGTAAGCACATGTAAGGCCACAATCACTGCAAATTTGATGTATCTAAGTGCGTGTAACTAAATCCAGCACTGTCACAGTTTTCACACTTTGCACTCCAGCAAAGGCAAACCAACCTTTACCATGTAAATTCTAACAAGACAGAGCTTGGAGACTTCCCAGATTAGAGTAAGGAGCCAGTATAAGCTTCCTCAAGCCAAATACATGTGGTGGAAGATTGATGGCATTATCCAAAGCAAGACATGTGGAAGTCATGACTTTGTTTGATGTGGTCCTATGCTGGACAATTACCAAAGCCATAATAATCTCTGCTCAAAATAGGATGAAATAAGAGTAAATCATCACTACTGTATTTCATATTTGTTCATTATGAGTATTTGCTTAGTTCACACAAAACACAAAAAAGTGTACTAGACTCTTCTTTTAATTAAATGTAAATGGGGAAAGAGAAGTATAGACAGTTGTTTCATTTTTCTTTTCATCATTTCTTTGACACTATGATATCACTTCATATCTACATATTCTGACAGTACAATTCTGCCATGATAACAGAAAACAGAATACAAAATAAAATACAGTAACTTCAAGGTCACTGCAACAACTTCGATACACACTTTCAGACATACCCCAGAGAACACAACACTTTGTCTAACATGCTACCTTTGGGGGGAGGGTTTAAGCGCCCCCCATTACTGTGACCCCGAGTCTAGTCAAAACCCCTAAGGGCCAATTCTACCTGCAATACTACTACCAATATACCTTGTCTACCTCTCTACTATCCCAGAGTAGAATACCACTACCCATGCCCTAACAAGACAGCATGGCATAAGTACTTCTCAGAGAGAGAGAGAGTGAGAGAGAGAGAAAGAGAAGCAGGGAAGAGAAAGATACAGAAACAAAAGACATCTACATTTTAAAATTTCCTTCTTCAAAACAAACTACAAAACACCTACAGAAGAAACTAGGCCAAAGAAAGTAATAATTATACTAATCATGAGAATCAAGAAAAAGATAGTAATAAAATATAACTAATTACATACTAACAATCATAAATATGGTAATTTTGCTTAGTGCACATCACAATGGATTGGGTAAACGACACGTGAAACCACCTGATGGACTAACTCTCACGATACTTTTCATCCAAGATATTTTTGTAGCTATTCATAAACAACTGAATTTTTCAACATTATAAATCACATTGCTACCCAAGAGTGATGGGAGTCAAACAGTCACTATGACTTTCACTCCCTTCATGCTTTCCTAAAGATCAAGAAACAGCCACCATATATATTCTGATTTTGATGCTTGCACTAGTTAGGAGCCAAATGGAGGCCTATGTGCCCTCACCTGATTTCCCTTTCCTTGAAAATTTGTGATTTGTTTTAATGTTATCAATATTGATGTTATCATCATTTACATCATGATCATATTTTTGTATCATTAGCAGTATTAACAATATCATAGAATCATAAAAAATATATATTACCAAAAATCAAGGAAAAGCATAAACAGATGAGGTAGAAAAGGTATGAATGAGAATGAATATCTTCATAATACAAGGGGTGTGTTTGACTGATTTTGATTATATCTTTGTCAGAAATACGCGCATTTCTGACAAAGATATAATCAAAACTGGTCAAATACATCTCTTGTATTGTGAAGATATTTATTCTCATTCATGCCTTTTCTGCATTTATCAACATGATTACAGTTCAGGTGAGATAGGCAGCCCTGGTAATTCTTAGAGCAATCTATATGTATATGCAATTAATACATTAAAATCACAGTAGACATCACTTGTATTTTTGGCATCTTGGCATCAGTGGGTCAATGATGAAATTGTGATATTTGGCATCAGCATCACTGTGGCAGAGTTGACAACTTCAGGCATGTCATATGGTAGGTAGGTAATAGCAAAAAGAGCAAAGCCATGAGAATAGCCATGAGAATGTACAAGTAAAACTCTTGTTGAACTTTTTATGCTTGCAAAGGTCTGGTTGTGATGAAGTAAAATTACAGACTATACACCACATTTTAATTCTGACAACCTTGTATTTCATCCTTATTCAACATATGTACTCTATTGTAATTTTACAGACCCCGCACTTTTAGCAATACTAAACTTTAAAGTCTGATATTATACATTATCAATTTTACTTCTTTCAGTTTCTGTTTGGGCTAATTTTGCAATTTGTTAATCTGCTCTTATATCCCATTTCTTCCCTCCCCCTCTTCCACCCCAACTCCCTACTTGCTGTCCAAGCTTGTCATCCCAAGCTGCTTGGTTCTCAACTTACAGAAATGACTATTAACAAGTCAAAGTATATTCTGACTGCCCAACTGAAATGTTACCTAACACGAGTACGGTTATTTGTGGTACTTAACCCCTTAACGCCGTGTGACGCTGATCGGCGTGCAAACAAACCACTCGAAAGCTGGTGTGTGGCTGTACGCGGCGGCAGCAAGCCAGTGTTTCGGGCTGATGTCCCCTACTCACGCGCTCAAAGTCGGCGCGCTGCCTTTGTTTGCTAGGGCGTAGAGTTTTTTTTTTGTTTTGTACACCCGGCGCCATTGGGTTAATGTCTACTTTTATTGACATTGGAGTCTAAAATATCCTGGATGAAAAGTGTCTGAATAAATCAAGCTGCTGACTCCATGCACCGTAAACCTCCTAAGCACTGATGCGCACAATTGTAAAATTACCAATTCTGAATAAAAGATAAAAATAAACTAAACACTAAAAAAATCAATAAAACACTACCCGGCAAGAGCCATGGGAGCCCGTAACTTAGCAAAATAAAACTAAAACAAGACACAGGTCCACCTACAGCAAACACGTCAGGAACAGGTCTGGCCCTTAGACCGGGGCTCGGAATCTCAGCTGCCATTTTCTCTTTTTTATAATTATGGGGAGATCTTGTAGGTAAATGCCCTCTCTCGCGCGCCTCAGAAGGGAAAGAAATGGAGGTCTCCTCGTTCTCTCTCTCTCTCGCTCTCTGTTAGGTTTTTGGTAAAACTGGAATAGAAATTCTATCTTCCTTTCTTTCGCCTTGTTTGTTCCTCTGTCATTTGTTTACTCTGTTCTTCTTCTCAGTCATAAAATGTTGGTATCGTGGTTGAAACCAAAAGGGAGGGGACAATGTAAGGTGTTCTGATACTCACAAAGGGTGTAAAAGTCTTAAAAATAACGCACTTTGGGGGACGCCACTGCGAGGACGAGAACAACAAGGCAAGATGGCGGCGACGCCACGCCAGCGCTGCAAACGCCGAGGCTTCGCTGATGCTCAAGTCAAGCGCTGAAAGGATTTTGCTAAATTCGACTAAACAAAAAAGGGCGAGAATAAGAATGGCTAGTATGTTTGAAAACAATAAGCAGATAATATTTTCTCTTACAAGCCTCGTCCCTGGCTTGTTCAATCCATCTAAAACCCTTATGCTAAACGCAGAGAATGCCGACAAACACAATTAATGCAATTAACTGTGCTTATAGATAACACAGTATAATGAAATGCCTATAGGTTGTTGGATACCTACGAGTAATAAAATGCACCCAAATTACAATGTAACTGGATACTCATGAACAGTTTTGAATATACTAAAGACTAGGGGATCGAGCAGTTTAATTCGCTAAGTTTAGCATAAAGAGCGCTAAAGTGGGAACGCTGCAATTAGGGTTTGTTTGTGCAGGCTTTCTACACATTATTGTTTGTAAATTATGAGGGGTACTCTTTTGCTCTTGGATTCGAAATGTAAAAAAAGGATGCATTCATGTTTTATATTCCGTTTCATGGTAGATATGCTCGATATTATTATAAAATTTATCGTCTAACGGTCTTATATCGTAACCCTGATTATGGATTTTTGTTATAACAACTGTAAGGTATCTAAATAATAATTCAGTTTAATCACCAACATAATATTGACCGCAATGATTATCATTGCATACAAAATACTATAAAATGATGAAAGTTACTGTTTGTTTAAGCCTTAGAATGAAGACTGAAGCCGGCTGTTTCTGTCTGTCATTAACTGTCTCAGTGACCGTCTAATAACCAAAACTATATTCCCAACAGTATTAAGAGGATGGTTTCTGCCTGCATCAAATCATGTACTGCCAATAAAAACAAATACATGTTTTTATGTTTAACTTCTCTGTCAAAAATAACTACGACAATTTTAGGTATATAAATGGCGTTGTTACCGGCATCACTCGGAAGGTCATTGACATGAAAATATTGTTTACTAACATTATTAAGCTTTATATGGCATGATTTTGTATGTCGCATTAACTTCTCTCTCATCTCAAGTCGAAATGTACTAGGCACAAATTCTGGCCATTGAAAAAAGAAGACACCGGTACCAATATACAATATAATATGCAATATACAATTCACAGAAAGTCACTGCTCTGTAACTGCCCTTCTTATCCGTTTTTACCGTCAAATCTCAAATAATAAGCACATATTATTGTTATATATAGCATAAAATACATATTGCCAATCACAAAGTACGATAATGTTAGTTATAAAAAACGACATCGATACCGGCGTTCCTCGCACCCGAAGGTCCTTGAGGTACGATATTGCTTACAAGTTGCTTCGCGTTCCGTCACGACATGTCAGTCGGAGGCAGGGAGGGCAGGGCGCCGAAGGGTTGTGCTGTGTGCTCGTTTAGGCGGGTAAGATGTTTAAGTTTATTGGTACATTTCGATTAATTCTTTTGTAAGTGATGTTGGTTGTTAAGGTATAAGGTGGATTATAACTTTAGATTGTGATTTTCGTGGTGATGTTGAAATTAATTAATTGTTATCACGTTACATTTTGTATAGCTATGAATATTTCTTTAAAACTGATTCGACTGATTAGGTTTCAAATTATACAGTAAATGATGTTGATAATATCCTTCCACAACTATAAAGATAACCTATTCTGTCTTCTGATAAATCAGTAGATATTTCTCTTCATAGTTCTACCAGCAAGACATAATACTGTGATTTTGTGTAAATTAAATTATTACAAGACACTTATGCTATCATGCAGAGGGAGCATGATTTGCAACAGAAGTTCATAGAAGATGAGTTTCCTTGATTCATTCACTGTTATTTCCTTATATTATTTGCTTCATAAAAGATGGCTAAATGAAACTTAACTGTTACCCATCTGTGGACTGATTTGGTCAGGTTATGCTGTGTTTGGAACTGTCTTGCTCGTCCAGACAACGTGTCAGGACTAGCAGGACAAGAAGGCCACGGTTATAACCTCGGAGGCCATTATTATCTACAAAGGACCACACTGAAAGAAACATTAACCAAATAAAGCTATTCTCCCTACAGCAAAAATGTCAGATTCCAAACCCATTGCGGCGATCATACCCTGGTCGCAGGTATGTCGCATGCTGGACAAAGTACAGACGGCTGTCAAGGCTGCCAAGAAGGAAATGTTGGTCAAGTTCATCGTGCAGTTTCGTGACCTTCTCAAAAAGAAACTGGAAAAGGATCCCCAGTCTGTGAGTATTATACTTACAAGGGTTGATGTGTGTCGACTCTGTGCCTAGGTATACATAAGTATATTTGATTCCCATGGTTTCTTAGGACTATGTAGTATGTTTACATTTTTGAAGATTTTCCCCTAAATATATGAACCCATTTGCTGTGCTTTAATATACTGTTCATTGTAGTTTTTTGCGAATTCTGTTGCACAGATGGCTACACAAGTCAGTTTGTAGGTGCTAGTGACCTTACCTGCTTTTGTTATCACTATTGTTATTATTGGTATTAACCTTATGATTATTTTAATGTCATCAAAATACTAATGATATACAATTAGATTTTTTTTTTTTGAAAATCAGATTCAAGGCAAAGGGTAAACAGACAGAGATAGGTAGGACTAATAATTGACCTCTTGGTGACTAAGTACTTGTGGAGCCATATATGTGTTGACACAGTTAATAAACTAAGATTAATTGAACAAGGCATGCATATAATGCCACTGACTACCATAGGGTTAATTATCTATTTGTTAGAAAGTTTATTGTGATAAACCAAGATTTTGTTAAATACTTAATTTTCCCATAACATTTTCCTTTATTACAGACAGACAGTTTTTTTCCTGTGCTGCGCATCCTGCTACCAGCTCTTGACAGAGCCCGAGGAGCCTATGGTGTCAAGGAACGTAAACTTGCAGAACTTTATATTCGCATCCTTGGTTTGAAGAAAGAGGGCAATGATGCACAGAAGCTCCTGCATTATAGGTAATGTCATATCAGAGAGTAGATTAAAAAGCTGAAAATATATTTCTCTGTATATGTTCATCTCTCTATATATTTATATATATGTATGTATGTATCTATGTATCAATATATGTATCATTCTATGTATCTATGCATCTGTGTGTATGTACATATGTATATATGTATGTATCTATCTATAAATATGTATA